TAGGGCCTGGATGGTTGTGTTACCTGTTGGGAGCTCAGCTGTAGGGCTGGGGGTGCAGCTCAGCAGTGAAGCGCCTGCCCCCAAAGCCCTGGCTCCATCCCCAGCACCACCAAGAAAGTTAGCACTAACTCCCAGTTCAAGAGGAGGCTGGGGATGGCAGCAGCACCACCTAGTGGCAACGGGTGGACGGCACCTGGGATGAATGCAGACCAGGACCCGCTGCCGTCAGAGCTGTCCCACACGAGGTCACTGTGGGCAGGTGTTGTGCCATCTCATTAGATGCTGCAGGAGAGGTGGCCATGATCACTGGAACTCACAGGATGGGAACCAGTGGGCCCCAAGTGACAGTCATTCAGGCCTGGGTTCACAGCTGGGCAGCCCCCACCAGGGGACATGGGGACACTTTCATTGCTTGAGAGAAGTGGGGCCACTGAGAAGAGAAGTCCGTCTTTTCAATTTCCCTTGGTGTTTAAAGGGAACTTCCCGATAGGTTTCAGGCCCCTTGACAGCAGTGTAAGTGGGGACTGCCCAACTGCTGTTCCCAGGACAGCCCCCTCAGCCCCTGGGCCTCGGTGTCCTCATCCCTCAGGTGGGGACAGGACTGTGGTGGGGTCTGAGTGAGCTGCACGATGTCCAGCATGAACAGTGCCCAGTGAAGGGCAGCTGAGGGATGGTGTGTGTCTAAGTGATGGGCTTCCGAGTAGGAAAGCTTTAGCAACTCTGCCACGAGAACTGTGCCGCAGACGGGGACTGTCCCTGGCAGAAGGGGAGGGGTGGCCAGGGAAGGCCTGGAAGAGATGAGCTTCTCTAGGGAAGAAAGGGCATCCCGGGACAGGCCTTGAAGGGTGCTGGCCAGGCAGAGCAGAATAGCTGTGGGCTCGCCCCTGGCAGAGGGCCACCCTGGAGAAGGCACCTGGCCGGGTTAGCCCTCGGAGGGCGCTGGGGGCCTCAGCAGAGCTGCTGAGAAGAGGTGGCATCATGAGCCATGTCAGTGGTCTCCTGGGGAAGGGGAGGGAGAGAGAGGGCAAATGGCCCCCCTCTGGAGCAGCCCCGAGCCTCATGCCTCCCATGAGAAGAGCGCTGGCCTCTCCCCCTCCCTTCCCACCCAGTTGTCTTGAAGGGATCAAATTATGGTCAGGATGAGCTGTTGGGGCAGCAGGAGTGGGGACAGCATTGCTTCAGTGGATCAAGGACATTTACCAAGCCCCTGCAGAGGTTCACAGTGGCAGCCTTGACAGGTGGCTCCAGCCTCGCCACAGATGTAGGCAGAGCTTTCCTCTGGGGTGGGATGCCCACCCCACCTCCCTCCTTCCTGGGGACTGCCTGGGCCACTTCTCTCCTCTCCTCAACCCGAAGAGTGGACACTAGCTGCTCCACCCAATGCCCCAGGGAGCAACTGCTTCCGTCCAGAGGGCCCCAGAGCCCAATCCCACCTGCAGATCACCCTCTAATGGTCAGCACTGCTTCTACCACGGACAAGGCAGAGCCTGGACCGTGAGGGTCAGGCAAGGTGGAGGCTGCCCTGCTTCCTTTGGTAAGATTGGGGCCACAGCTGAGGTGGCCAGGGGCCTGGCTCCCGCTCTTCCTGAGCTTGGGTGTCCCACTGGGCTGGGGTCTTATGCCTTAGAATTTCTGTGCCACGTTCCCTCTGTTCGACCCTGAACCAGCGGGAGCTGAGGTCTGTCCCTGGTGGCACTACAGCAACTGCTGCTTATGCTTGGATTTCAGGGAGGCCACTCCCATAGGGCAGTCCTTCTGAGTACCCCCCTTGCCAGGATGGCACATCCTGCAGTCCCTGCCTTGGTTTTCCTGGTCTGGCTGCTCTGGGACCTTACTCTCTCTGTTCTTGCCAGAGTGAGGGGTGGCTGAGTCTCTTTGCTGGGGGGCTTCTCCTAGGGCCTGGGCCCTGTTCAGTTCCCCTTCCACAGGAAGGCAGATGGCAGAATGGATGGGTGCTGGTGGGGCCTGGGTTTGAGTCCCCGCCCCTCCTTCTCCAGTTGCTCAGTCCTCATCTGTGAATGAGGGGGCTCTCTCTGCCTGGGGTGGGACACGGACGGAATGAGGCTCTAGGGAAGGGAGCGGTCTGGAGATCAGGAATGTGTGAGCAGAGACCCATGGATGTTTTTTCCCCTCTCCATTCCTCCTGTGATGATCAAGAACGGGCAAGGTGATAAGTGCAAATGGTACAAAACAAGACAAAGGTGACAAAGATCTGGGGTCACCTCAATTTGGCTAAACTGCCAACAAAGCAGAAATTTTCTGTGCTGAACAGAAATCATTGGGCAGCTTTGTTTCTAAGAAGAGGTCAAAATGGACTTCATAGTCCAACGAATGCCTCAAAATCCAATTAAAAATGAGAGAGAGAGAGAGAGAGAGAGAGAGAGAGACTGGTTCACTGAATTTGAATCTTACACACACTTTGTGCTTAACTTTAAATAAAGCTGGGAATAAGCTGAAGCTTACCGAAACCTCCAGCCCCATCCCACTTCCACCCATACAGAGCAGAAGCAGACCCACCTCTCGTGCACAGATGTCCCCCCCTCCAGGCAGAGAGAGGACCCAGCTATCAACTCCTGGTGCTTGGCCTGGATGAAGGCCACACCCTTGGGGAAAGAAAGAGGGAGGGAGCAGGGAGACTGACGGGGACACTCAGAAGCACCGAGGCATGAGGTGCAGAGCAGTGCAGAGGAGACCAGGAAGAAGCTGCTGAAGCCACGCACAGCCACTGTAAAGGACAGCCGGGAACAAAGGGAGCAGTGCCCAGAACCTTCCTCTGGGTGTCACCATGGCCCCCGAAGTCCAGGGGAAGGGCTGTTTGCAGTGACCACGGCAGGTGTGCTCGTGAGGCCAGGTGTCATCGTCCCGTGGAGCTCCTCCGCGAGGGAGGTGCCCTGGCTACCCCGCTAAGATGGAGGAACTGAGGAAAGCATGCAAGGGAGTAAAGAGCTGGGATTCCCACCGGGCACTGGCTGGAGCCAACGTCCTCTGCCATTGCCGTGTGCTGCCTTTTCCAGGAAAAAGGGGGCCATGAATAAGTCAGGTACCCCCAAGCCCACCAGCACCCCTTAAATCTGAATCCCAGGAGGACAAGGCTAAGGAAACCCTAGAGGACCGGATGGAGGGCACACAGCACACTGAGGCGAGGGCAGCAGGACGGTTCCCCAGACAGGACCAGAGAGAGGCTTGGGAGTGCAGGGCCTGAACCTTGGGCTGGGAGAGGAACTGCTGTAGGGAGAGGCTCCTCGCAGGGGCAGGTATGGACTTACCCTGGAATGCGGGGCATAGAAAATTACTCCTAATGACAACAATTTATTGGGTACCTACTACGAACCAGTCACTCTGCCAGGCACTTTGCAGAGGAAGACACTTTGGTCAAAGTGTCCCCAAGAACAAGTGCAATGGAAATCAGGTCTGGGACTGCACTCTTAGCCTCTGTGTTCCCCTTGCAATAATGTCCCTGGGCACCGGGTAACACTTGCCTGAGGAACACAAATTTAAAACACCAGCCTTTTGCCACCTTCGACCTGGCTGCGCTCTGCTCTGCCTTATGTGAGGATGACCAGTGCACAATGGGGCAGCCTGGCCGTCTGTGATGGTTTGGGGAGCCAGAGGCCTCTGCCTGTCCAGGGTTCCGGGGGCTTTCTTGTAATGCAGGTGATGTGAGGACTGGGGCACAGCCTCCAGGCTCATTCCCATGACTGATTAGAGTGGGGCCAGGGAGGTCAGTGTGTCCGTCTGTCTGCTCGTCCCCTGCCCTCCCTGGCATCAGCTAAACACAGGGTGAGAAGTGGGAGCAGGACGAGCGCAGAAGGCCACTGGCTGTGAGTGAGGCTGTGGGAGGGCTGCAGCGCGGGTGTCTGTTCCCCTCGGCAGGGAGAGGGGAAGGAGGCCCATGCTGTGGGAAGGGGTGAGGCCTAGCCTTGCCCGTCACTGAGTGCTGCCACGCCAGCTCCTGGCCCTGCAGGGCAATGACAGCAAGTTCGGGCTGCTCCTCTGTGCCTGGGGATTCTGAGATGCCGGCCTCACCTCAGGCCACAAGGGGAGCTCTGGAGTGGCAAAACCCCGTGCCAGGTATGTGCCAGCCTGGCATGGTGGCTGCCCTCACTGCAGCTCCAAGGAGGTCAGAACACCTGCCTCCGCGATGACTCAAAAGAACTGGATGCTGGATCTGCCTGCGGCCCCTGCGTCTGGAGGGCAGGGGCTGCAGCCTGCGGGACGGCCAAAGCACTGCCCGCCGCCCCCCTCTGCAGCCCCTCCTGGTGCACTGAGCTGCTAACTCACACACTTCCTTGTGTGCCAAAGCCCCTGCAGTGCCACCACAGCCCACCCCATGCAGCCATTATTCCTTCTCACACAGGAGAAACGGGACCAGGCAGGTGAGACAACACCACTGGAAGCAGCCAGCAGGAACCCGACCCGAGACCCTCCGTGGCATCCGGAGTGGAGGGTAGGATGGGTAGCTGAGGGAAGGATGACGGTGAGAAGAGGCAGCTTTACAGGTGACCGAGGGGCTGGGGACATTTGCTGTAGAGGGTTCTGCCTTTAGGAAGGAGGCGGCAGGTGCCAGGGACTGTGGACGATAAGCCTGTGAGCCACTCCAAAGTCCAGGGCTCTTATAATGCTATAAAAGGCACAGTGGCACCAGACTGCTGCCCCCAGGGTGCACCACCACACCATCTGCTGCTGTCAACACACCCAGGTGGGGCTGACAGAGGACCTGCGGTGGGCTGGAGGAGCAAGGAGGGCAGGGGCCTGTCTGCTCAGCTGAGAAGAGCCAGGGCACTGTGCACACAGATGCGGGACACAGACCAGCTCAGATACAGCCCCCACCCCCAGGCTGCGACGGCCTCTTCCCACATGGTGGTCTGGTCCCACATTCCCAGACCCCTCCCAACCGTGCTGCCCACAGCTGGCTCAGACAGCAGCAGAGCTGACACCTCAGAGCTGGTCCAGCCTGGCCAGGACTCTAATCTTAAAGACAACCACATTAAGTAAACACATTTAAAGCTTTACAGAACAAACCTGTTCTTTACTATTCGGTTCATTATGAACTTGAATCACTGTAGTTTGAAAGCTACACCCCACTGAGGCCTCGACAGCAGCATCTGTGTCAGTGATTAACTTACTATATTCTGTGCAAATCATAAGTGCCATACCTTCACAAGCTTCAGAATTTCCCTGGTGGACGTAGCTCAGCCCTTTATCCCCTGTACCCAGTGGACAGAAATGGCTACAGTTATGCTCTCCAAGCTCCAAAGGAGACTATATTCTCACTGGGGCCTTCTGCCCTGGTCCTTGTAAGGCCCAAGGACTGGCCCTGGGCAGCAGCAGAGGCCTCAGCACCTGCCTCTGCCACCTCCGTCTGGCAGCACTTCTTTACCAGCACAGTGACAGCTGGGGCACGGCTTGGCGGGCCACCCTGCTGTGGGCAGGCCACACAGCACAGCTGTGGTTTTCCTCAGAGGCCCTTCTGATCTGCAACCTGACCCACCTGAAAGACCACCCTTTTCTGAGCAGGACCCGAGCTGTGGGAGGCCGGTGCCTAGAGCTTGCTGTTTTTCTGGAACTGGGCCACCAGGCTGAGGACCTGCTCAGAAGCTTTGATGTTCTTGGAGCCCAGGTAGGCGATGCTGTTGGGGCCCGTCTCCTCCAGGTAGTAGCGGTAGTTGACCATGAGGCCACATGAGCCGGTGAGGCCCCTGAGGCTGCTGTCAGCCATCCAGTTGATGCGCCACATCACAGCCCCGTTCTGCAGGTGGAAGTTGGCCACAGGGTTCAGGGCGAAGCCGCGGTGCTTCTCACCATACAGGTACCAGGCACACAGCCGCATGAGGGGAGCCTGGAGCGCGAGCACCAGCTTCTCCGACTTCACCCACTCGCTGGTGCTGAGCATGACCTTGAGGGTCTCCTGGATGGGGCCACCAGTGATCTCGGTGATCTCTTTACACTCTGAATCTGTGAACAGTTCGTTCCTCCCATGCTCCTTTGTCTGTGAGTTCAGAAGCCCCAGAAGCCACTTGGTGAATCCAGGTATAGGTGACAGGCTTGAAAATGCCCCCAGGTGAGGAAACTCCTTCTGCGTGCAGGTGGGTGAGAGAAGGCAGAGAAAACACACAGTTCAGCAGGTGGTGTGAAGTCCCTCGTCCACCCTCTACTCCTCTCAGCTCTGAACGCTGCTGCACAATCGGCAGAGTGACATGTGATGTGCATTACTACATTTTTCTTCTTTCAAGGCACATTAGGAAGCTGGTGTCTGCCAGGCCCTAGAGGCATCTGAAACCCCAAGGCAAGCCTCTAGGCCAGGTTTCAATCCATCCGTTTGCCACATTGCAAAACAGAGGCCAGGATTGGGGGCTTGCATAAAATCTGAGACACCCCTTCATGAGGAACATGGTCCAGTTTTTGACCACAGACCTCATCCTTCTACTGCACCATGTCCCTCTCCTGGGAGACCACTGTGGCCCCAGAGCCTGGTCTGATGCTTGGTATACAAGCACCAAGTGACATCTAAGTAGTGGCCCAGCTATAACTAGGGGGACACGAGGGGCAGGTGGGGTATGTATGTCACCATAACTTGGTTCAGTCATTATTAAAATGATAGCCAGGCACGGTGGTACACACTGGTAATCCCAGAGACTTAGGAGGCTGAGGCAGGAGGCTTGCAAGTTCGAAGCCAGCCTCAGCAACTTAGGCCCTCAGCAACTTAGCAAGACCCTATCTGAAGATAAAAATTTAAAAAGGGCTGGAGAGGGGCTGGGATAGTGGCTCAGCGACAGAACACTCGCCTAGCACGCACGAGGTGCCGGGTTTGATCCTCAGCACCACATAAAAATAAACAAATAAAATAAAGGTATTTTGCCCACATACAACTACAATTTTTTTTAAAAAGACTTTAAAATTTATGAAAGAAGAGAAGCAAGCCTCGGTGCTCCAGCACTCTGAGGACACGACTCTCAGTGGCCCAACATGGCCTCGCACACCTGGCCTGTCTCTACTCATGTTTACAGGGACAAGACACTGATCCTACATTCCATCTAACACAGTATATCACAAACATTCTAATTGTCACTTGAAATTAAAAAATACAATTTTAATGACAGAATAATATTAAAAGGTAAGACTATGCAGTGTCTTCCCTTCTCTGGGCATTGAAGGGGCCTCCAGTGTTGGAGACCTTCTGTGCAGAAGGGAAGCAGCTTCCCTGGAGAGTCCCTGAGGACCGTTGGCTCACAGTGCTACTGTCAGGTGGCTCCGAGGCCACAGGGAGTCTCGGGTGCATCACCCAGAGCCCTGGTTCTGCTCTCCCTGCTACTGGCTCGTTACCTCAGTGTCCTCCTCGTTGCCCTACTCATAATACCAACAGCAAAGAAGAAAGGCCTAGAAAAGCCTTATATTATCATATGTGACTTGTTAACACCTCTGGGGGAAAAGTGGCAGATAGTGACAATAAAGAAGCCGTTCCAAACTGAAGGCTGAGTTCTTAGATTAAAACTGACTAGGACTGTAGCATGAAGCGTGTAAAATATTGAACTTCAAGCTGCCATCCTTGAAGGCGGAGCATCTGCCACCACAGCCTGTGCTGGAGCAAAGAGTACCCAGGCAGAGGATCAGCACGCTCAGAGCCATTAGCAATCCAGTCATTTAACCTAAGACCTAGATTCCTCTCACTGGAGGTCACCCGAGCCCTTGAGAGACAGTTTTGAAAAGCTGCACTCAGAGGTCATCTGAGTGTGTCCACCATAGGACAGCCGGTGGCCTTTGCAGGCAACAAGAAGAAGGGAATTAGACCAACACCAAGCCAAAGCATTGACCTCTACGCTGCCTGGTCTAACCTTAGCACTCTCACAGACCCCGAGAGAGCCCACGCTGGTGGGATGTCAGGGGTCAGAGGCCCTGGACAGTGTGGGCGGGCAGGGACAGGACAGGTCAGGCATGGCTAGGAAGACC